AAAGATGAAGTTGGAACTTGAAGCAAAAAGACTTCAAGTGGCAGAAGGTAGAGTACAAGACAGAAGTAAGGATGTGCAAACTCATCGTAGCCAACAGCCTGTTTGGGGTATATACAAATATGTTTAAACATTATCAAAATTCGATGAAAAAGATGTAGAAGCCTTTTTTATTTCCTTTGAAAAATTGGCTAGGCAAATGAACTGGCCAGAGACTGTGAGTAATATTAATTCAGACCAAGTTGGTAGGCAGGGCTAACGAGGTGTTTGCAGTGCTGTCAGCGGAGGTGTCAGGAGACTGTGAAGGAGTGAAACAGGCTGTTTTGAGTGCCTATGAATTGGTACCAAAAGCATATAGACGACTGTTCAGAAATATGAGGAAAGGACTAGGTAAGACTTGTATCAAGTTTGAAAAAATTAAACGTAGCTACTTTGATAGTTGGGTGAGAGTTTTAAAGATTGAAAAGACATGTGAGGATCTTAGAGAGATTATTCTGCTGGAGGAGTTTAAAAAATCACTTCCAGAAATGATAAGAACTCATGTTGACGAACAGAAAGTTCAAACAATGAGAAGAGCTGCAGAGATGGCAGATGAATACACAATAAGTGCATAAATTGAAGTTTAGCTTTCAACAGCGATTTCATTCCATGAGGGATGGAAATTGGGAAAAAGGGAGATCCTTCAATGAAAAACAAGAAGTAGATCACACTGGGGACAGTTTACCACAGGTGAACAAAGAAACCCAAGAGGCAGAAAAAGAGATGAAGGACCTCAAGTGTTTTCATGGTAATGGAGTGGGACACACAAAGTCACAGTGCCAGTGGTTTAAGAAAGGATGTGGTAAAGGAGGCTAAACCAGTGGGATTAGTTGAGGTAGTGAAAGAAATCCCAAAAGAAGTCGAGGAACTGCAGGAGTGTGCACAGCCCAGTCATGGGCTGGAAAGTGAGATAGTGCCTGATCTCTACAAAGATTTCACCTCTGTGGGTAAGGTTTACTCAAGAACAACAGGGCGAGAAGGTAAAGTAGTAATATTGAGAGATATGGCAGCTAACCAGTCTCTAATAGAAAGAGATGAAAGTATTTTCACTCCTTCTGAAATGTTACCCGAGAGAGCGATAATCTGTGGAATAAATGGAGAGAGATTTAGTGTTCCCCTGTCTAAGATCAGGTTGGAAAGTCCAATTAAAACTAGGAAGTGACAGCGGGAGTGATTGAGAGTGTCTATTCCAGGAATACAGTTTATTCTTGGAAATGACCTAGCAGGATCAAAAGTGGGAGTTATGCTCCTTGTAGTGGAGAAACCAAAGGAAAACCAGGGAACTGAGGAGTTTAAAGAAAAATACCCTGGAATTTTTCCGGACTATGTGGTCATAAGATCTCACAGTCGTAAGATATAGCAGGAAAGTAAAACCAAAGAGGGAGATGAAGGAGTTGAAGTCCAGTTAGCTGACACCCTGTTTGATGAAATGGTAAAGGAAAAACCTGAACAGGTAGAGGATCAGGCAAAGGTGTTTAGTTCTGAAAGGTTAATGGAGTTACAACAAAAAGATGATACAATAAAAGGTTTATATCATAAAACCTATTCGGAAAAGGAATTAGAATGTATTCCCAAATGTTGTTACCTCAAGGATAGAATCCTAAGACGAAAATGGAGACCTTGGCAGGTTCTGTGTAGGTTCCCTCCCTAAAACCAAAAGTGAAACCAGTATATGCTAACCATAATGGATGTATCTACCAGATTTCCGGAGGCAATTACATTACAGAATGTTAAGGCAAAAAAGGATGTGGAGGAGTTGCTTGCTTTCTTTACCCATTATGGACTACCCGGGGAGATTCAGTCAGACCAAGGGTTCAATTTTACTGCCAAACTATTTAAGGAGGTCATGGATAGTTTAGACATCCAAAACTTTAAATCAAGTGCATACCGCCTGGAATCCCAGGGAGAATTGGAAAGGTGGCATCAGACCCTAAAGACCAATGCTGAGGGCTTATTGCCAGGATTACCCAAATGATTGGGATAAAGGTATCCCATTTATATTGTTTTCCATTATTGATGCCCCAAATGAATCTACTCAATTTACTCTATTTGAGTTGATATTTGGACACAAAGTAAGAGGGCCTTTTAAATTAATTAAGGAAAAGTTGATAGGTCCAAAATCAGAGATCTCAGAGTTGGATTATATATCTGAGGTGAGAGAAAGCTTAAACAAAGTGGGTGAAATAGTTAGACAACATCTGAAGGTAGCACAACATCTAACAAAGCAAGAAGCAGATAAGAAATCAATAAGCTGTATAAGAAAGCCCCATCTTATCCATAAATGGTACGATGGCACTTCTAGCTAAGAGTCTTCACAGAGAAAACATCCCTGACAGCAGGATCAGTGGAAGAATGGCATTTATGACTTGAGAACAGCAGAAGAAAGTTGTTTATGACTGGAGAGGCAGTGAAGACAGAGCATTCCGGAAGACACATTCTGTATGGACTTTGAGAGACTAAGTTTTAATTTATTTTTTCTTACTAATTGAGTTATATAAGGTGGGACTTGTGTTTATTGGAATAGCATACCAGTAGAATTTTGTTCAGTTAGGGAATAGTTAGGAGTTAGGGGGGAATTGTTCGGTTTGTTAGTAGTCTGTTAATTTGTTCATTGTTAGGGCTAAATAAATAGGGTTATTTGTTACTTATAAAGTGAATATCAGGGATTTTCTTTCATTTAACCTCCCCTTCTCCATAACAATTAGTTTATCAGAGAATCGGAAGAGCTGGTGGGAAAAATTGCTCAGATCCTGTCAATTTCCCTCAATCACTACCACCAAATGACAGATTACGGGGAATACAGTATATTGCCATTTGTGAGTTCTTGCTTTGTGTACATAATAACATGTCCAATATTCCAAATGTTGCAAAAATATTGTAATATTTTTGGGAGGTGGTTTAAAGTCCAAATCTTTACGTATTATGTACAAAATTTGCTGATTAACACATCACTATCATTCCAATTAGTTCTTCATTTCAACATTAAAGTACTGATGAATCCCATTTGAAGTGTTCATCTTCATAAGTAATAAGGCAAATTCCACTCCAGGTTTTGGTACAGAAACATAAATTTAATTTCATTTAGTGCAAAATTTTGTTATAGATAGCAAGGACAGTGAAACAGGAAGGAGGCAGCAAATGAGGAAGCTGGTGGAGTGAACAATATTACACAATATGCGCTAACTGTTTTGAACAAAGAATCTGCCTGTTCTTTATTAATAGTTGTTCGTCTCTTGTCTCCTATGTTTCCTGCCTAAGTCAAATATCTGTGACCCAAGAAAAATAGAAAAACTAAATGGCAAAATTGATTGTTTCTTGAACTGATCATAAGTTCCACAACATTGTGATTAAAATAAAGGTGATGTCTTGATTGTATATGTACATATATATTCGTCAACAGACCAATGCATTGTGACAAAACTATTATAAATTGAACATGATATTACATGATTATTATTTGTAAAAAGATTTTGATAATGCGTTATGATAATGGAGCAAATCACCTGTAGATCACAGGTTCCCTTCTCTGAAGGACATTAGTAACCAGTTGAGTTTTGACAGAATTCTAATGGATAATTGTCTGGTGCCAGTCATTATATAATCAGATTTATTAAGGTTATTTTCATAACTTGTAATGATTTGAATTCATAACCACTAAACAACTGGTCTAGGATCATTCACAATCCATCATATCCCATCTTTTCTAAACTGTCAGTTTGAAAATAGGTAATACTCTCAAAATGCAGTTTGCAGTGGCATCCCATTAGAGCCTGATTAGCTCTTCAGTTGTGAAGTAAAAGTACAAAGAAAAGTAAATTCCCATTTGCCACATTCTCAGTGTTTTGATTACTTGACTAATTGAATTCCATGACAATAGGAAACATAGAAAATTAGAACAGGAGTAGACCTTTCGGCCCTTTGAACCTGCTCCACTATTCAATATGATCATGGCTGATCATCCAACTCAATATCCTGTTCCTGTTTTCTCCCCATTCCTTTTGATCCCATTAGTCCTAAGAACTTTATCTAAGTCCTTCTTGCAAGTATTTAATGTTACGGCTTCAACTGTTTTCTATAGTAAAAAATTCCTTAAGCTCACCACTCTCTTGGAAGATATTTCTCCTCATTTTGGTGCTAAATCACCCACCTAACATCTTTAGACTGTGGCCTATTATTCTGGACTTCCTGGCTATCAGTCTAGTCCAGTGAGAATTTTACAGGTTTCTATGAGATCACCTCTCATTCTTCTAAACTCCAGTGAATAAAGGCCTAACCGATCCAACCTCTCTTCATAGGTCAGTTCTGCCATCCCAGGAATCAGTCCGTTGTAAACCTTTGTTGCACACCCTCCATTTTCAGAACACCATTCCTCAGATAAGGAGACCAAAACTGCACACAAAACTCCAGATCTGGTCTCACCAAGGTCCTGTACAATTCCAGCTGAAATCCTTGCTCCTGTATGAAGGCCAACATGCCATTTGACTTCTTCACCACTTGCTGCACCTGCATGC